TTTGGAGAGAGAGAGAGAGCTGAGAGCCACAAACCTGAACTGAAGCTCCAAGAGCAACTACCTCATCAGGATTGACAGAAACATTAGGCTCTTTACCAGTCATCTTGCAGACAAGGTTTTGGACAGCTGGTATTCGTGTCGATCCACCAACAAGAACTACTTCATCTATATCTTTGAAGGAAAGGTTGGCATCCTTTAAGGCAGTTTCTACTGGTGTTTTAAGCCTGTGAAGACAAATTCCAAGTGGAGTTGTCGAGTCAGAAGGATAAGACTGAAATTTAAGAAACAAGCTCGAGTATACGAGTTAACTACAATGAAAACAAAATATCAAAATTTGAACTATTGCACACTTGAAAAATAAATCTAATCATATTGGCATCCCCATACTAAATGACAGGTAATTTATGAAAAAATCGTTACCTGTCTAATAAGTCTGAGCATAACTCCTCAAACTTGGCCCTTGTAAGTGTCGTCTCAATATGTTTTGGACCATCTGCAGTAGCAGTGATGAATGGCAAACTGCACAAGAAGGGAAGGCACATTCAATGAAAGCTTGCTAAGGCAGAAGCAGCTGTTTTTTTTTCCAGGAAGGGGGAGCAAATAAAGAGAAAGAAGCAATTATTTTGTGCACACATGACACAACTAACACAGACACATACCCGATATTAGTTTGAGTCAAGGTTGACAATTCTATCTTTGCCTTTTCAGCAGCTTCAGTAAGACGTTGAAGCGCTTGTTTATCCTTCAGAAGGTCTATTCCTTCTTCTTTTCGGAAATTTTCAGCAAGCCAGTCGACAGTTCTCTTTTTGATAAAAAACGTGTAAGCACCATACAGACAGAAAAGGTGCATATAAGCTAAGAGAAGGTATTGCTAATTTAATACCTTATCAAAATCATCACCTCCCAAGTGTGTGTCGCCTGAGGTAGAGAGCACCTCAAATACTCCATCTCCAACCTCAAGAACTGCATTACCTTGTGAGTTAGTGCAGATACAAAAGCACATTTGAAGTCAGAAATTAATCTACCTAGATCGTGCGAACTTGTTTTCCTTCTATTCCATATTACTAAGGTTCTACGTTGAAGTACATAAATAGAAACATAATGCAACTCAAAACCTAGTAGGGAGGAAGATAACTCTCTGGAAAAGCAAAGATTCATACGATCAGCCCTTTTATATTCTTAGTAGTCGTTTGGTACAATAGTGGGATATCGCCGGATATCCAATATGGTGGGATATCGCCGGATATCCAATATGGTGGGGTATCCCAAGGGATTAGCTATCCCGCCTTTTTTATGGGATAGGTAATCCCACCATTTTAGTGTAAAATTTTTCTTGGGATTAACTAATACTTATAACCAAACATGGGATAAATACAATTCCAAATTCTATCCCAGGATTATTATCATTATTCCATGCACCAAACGACCCCTAAGTGCTATATGAAAGAAGCCAGTTACTGCATAGAAGAGATGAGATTCAAACCAGATCTTGCCTCAATCAAACAGCCTTCTCACATACCTGACACATCAAAAGTACCACCTCCCAGGTCAAACACTAGAATGGTTTCATTATTCTTCTTCTCAAATCCATAAGCCAATGAAGCAGCAGTGGGTTCATTAATTATACGGAGAACATCTAATCCGGCAATGCGACCTGCATCTTTCGTTGCAGTTCTCTGGGAGTCATTGAAGTATGCAGGTACTGTAACCACTGCTTTACCAACTTTATCATTCAAGAACTTTGAGGCATCATCAACAAGCTTTCTCAAGACCTGGGGGCCAGAAGCAAAGCAAACTCTCTTCAGAATACCAAGAAAAGAATCATGAAAGTGTGGATTCAATTACTGCTGAAACAGGTAACCACAGACAGAGGGGGAACTATGATTTGAAACTTGGGGGTTAAAACTCTAATCTTTCAAGTTATTTGGTTCTAAACTAATAATTTGTGTACATATTCAATAGATAGACAAAATAGACATTGGACCAAAGATACTGGGTTCGGCCGAACCCGTAAACCAAACACTAGCTCCGCCCATGACCACAGATGTCTAATAACTCCATCCATCTCAGATAATCTAACTTATAGATTGAGGAATAATAAACAGTATAAACATATATTTGCAGACAACAGTAACAAGCTTCATAATCAGCATTGATTTTCTCACTGCTGTCTAACAAATTACTAATTCCAAGATCACCAGCCTACACATGATAAGAAATAGTCCTAACTAAATACAGTTTCTTAAGACTATAGAAGGAAAAAAATGCTCAAATAAGCACAATCAATAAACAAAATTTTGCAGAAAACAGAGTAGCCAATATCAAGCAGAAACCTCAACCTAAATCCTCGCGCCAAAGTTGATAAATAAAAAAATCACCTATTCCTAGGGTCAATTGACCAATTTTCAAGCAAAACTCATAGTACATATATTTCACCATTCAAATGTAATACTCCCTCTATAGTCTATCCCCAATTCATGACGGTTCCAAAATAGAATCACCCAACTTCACCTACTCAAACACATTGTCGAATTCTACTCAGCGGAATATGGAGGTACTTACGGTAGAACGGGCCAATCTGGTCTTTCATAATAAAGCGAGAGACATGAAACGACTTATTAGTAGATTAATAGATAGAGACATGAAATCGACTTCTTAGTAGATTAATAGATCACTTTGGAATGGCATATACATCACATATCCTAGATCAAGTAAAAACTCCAGGGTTCCAACAAGCTATTGCTATATCCATTTCATTAGGAATTGATGATCTTTTAAAAATACCTTCTAAGGGATGGCTATTTCAAGATGCTTAAAAACAAAGTTTGATTTTGGAATAATACCATCATTATGAGAATGTACACGCGGTAGAAACATTACGCCAATAATCATTACCGCAAGGCATAACGGGAAGACATATATGGTAGAATCATAACCATAGAATACACCCTAATCAAAATGCATACATTTGTCTCATACACTATGGGATAGTGAGAAGAGATATATTTTACATAGGGACTATAATTGGAGATACCATTGTTTCTAGTATAGAAGTTAAGATGCCCAACTTTTATAATTTGTAACCACGATGTTGAAGTAAAATCTTTCTCTTTTTTTCTTAAATTCCATACTGAATTACAGAAAATACAAAGATAGAAATATTATTTAGAAACTTTCAGACAATCGAAAAAAGAAATAGGGCGCATAATTAACATGCGCATACCTGAGCAGAAATTTCCTCAGGAGCAAACTGCTTACCAATAGCAGGACACTCAAGCTTAACATTCCCATTCTCATCCTTCATCACTCTATACGACACCTGCTTCGATTCTTCATCAACCTCGGTCATTTTCCTCCCTATAAACCTCTTTACCGAAAAAAAAGTATTCTCAGGATTCACTACCGCTTGCCTTTTCGCTATTTGCCCGACTAGTCTATCGCCGTTCTTCGTATACGCCACCACAGACGGCGTCGTTCTTTGTCCCTCCGCATTTGTCACTATCGTCGGTTGTCCACCTTCCATTACTGCCACTGCTGAGTTTGTTGTACCTAAATCTATCCCCACCACCTTCTCGCTCACTATTTTCATGGGTCTGTACTTTTGCCTTAGTACTCCTTTGTTGCTGTAACATTTCTCTCTTGATACAAAGCATGGAGTTTTTTTGTCGAGTTTAAGCCCGGAAAATGGGATTTTCACTTGGTGGGCTGCAGTTGCAGCCATAATTGAGCTCATATTTTCTTAGAAAGTGAAAAAAATTGAGACTTTCCTAATTTAAAAAAAAAAAAGGTGTCTGGTTCTTTTCTTGAAAGCAACAAACTAGGCAACGATGATCGTGAAGACTTGAAACGAAAAGGGGTTTATATATATAGAGAGAGAGGAGAAGATTTTGGTAAAGGACAATTCTAGAAGGGTCCAGGGACGTAGGATGAGAAGGGGATTAGTGGCCGTTGGATCAAGATTTTGCTGTTTTGGACAGTGTTGTAACGAGGTCCTTGTCTTGAGTTTTGGATTTTGGTATATTCATGTGAATGATTGTGGAAAATTGTGGGAAAGTCCAGGAGCTTCTGGCGCAGAGAACACAAAGTTCAATTTGACGTTTTGCGAAATTGGTGAGTTAATTGTTAACCAAGTTAATGATTATTATGTCACGTCCCAAACTATCTAATAGCTTTTCCAATCTTACAAATTTTTTTTTTTTAAATATTTTTTTTAAAGTAAGTGTTTGATCAAATTTTTTTTTTAAAAAAAAAAATATTTTGAGAAGCAGAAACAGTTTTAGAGAAACAGAAAAAAATAGTTTCTTTTTAAAAATAATTTTTTAAAAAGGACTTTTGAGAAAAATATATTATCATAAAAAATACTTTTATTAGCTTGGTCAAACACTAATTATTGCTCATAAGTGTATATAAATTAATTAGCCAAATACAAACTACTTCTTGTCAAAAATAATTTTGAGAAAAATACTTTTTAAAAAAAAAATACTTATCAAAATAAGCGAATTTTTATCTATAAATGTGATTGGTCCCTAGCACATACTGTCAGGCAAACCATATTTATATACCTTAACCTTTAATTAGCAGTATTTAATAAATTAAATAGTTATTAATAATTAATCATGAATAGTTAATATCCCAAAATTAATTTAAAATCACACTAGATCAGGCAGCGTCTAAGAGATGTGTAGACCCGAAAAGAAAATGAATCAATCAATAAATTTATTATTTATTATTATTATTATTATTATTATTATTATTATTATTATTATTATTATTATTATTATTATTATTATTATTATTATTATTATTATTATTATTATTATTATTATTATTATTATTATTATTATTATTATTATTATTACTACTATATATATATATATATGAGGGAAGATGGTCAATCAAGGGTATATCTGTAATTTCAATTGATTTAGCTTGAACTTTTATTGCTCACAAGTCATAAAACACGTGTCCTTCCTGATATTCTTCATCTAGAATTCTCTATAGCTTAGTCCTCTAACTAGCTTTCTTTCACTTTTTTACTTTGTCCAGTGTCTATCATTTGAGCTTCTATCTTTTTCTAATTTTTGGTATACCACTGCGGTATCACAGTGGTTAATCTCTTTTTACCCATAGTTGAAGAATAGGTTTATTTCTTTTCAGTTCTTTCCATTTTTTAAGCGTAGACTACCACAAAGGGAATTGTTCAAGCATTTGGACTACTTCTCTTGTTAAATAAATAAAATAGAAGATCGAAATTCGACTCAAGGTGGTGGAATTGGTGACAGATTCTGCTCTTGATATAGGTGGTTTAATGAATTGAGATGGAATCAGATTTCGAATGCAAATGGGTTTCACAATTTGGGACAAAGTTGTGTGCTACTGCAATATCTGTGCCGATCAAAGAAAACGCTCAGCTTGATTCTTACCGGATGGAGCACTCTTGGAGCTTTCAAACTTCTGAATTGGAATATTGAGGTATAACCCCTTAAATTGCTATTTTAAAAGTGTTTCTGTATTTTCATTTATTTTCTTTATTTATTATATTAATTAGTTAAAGGTCGATTCTCTGCTAATTTTGAGGTGTAACCCCTTTGAAATTTTGATTTCTTTTGAGGTATATAACTGGTGAAATTTTTGATAATCGCTGATTGAAATTTTGATGTATAACCCCCTTTTTTAGATTTGTCTACATTGCCCGACTGCTTTGCGCATTGGTTCCTCATCTATGCTCTTATAGTCCCTTTCTTTCCCTGACCGAGTTTTTTCTTTTCCGTTATTTCTCTTTTATATTATCTCCAAACCTCCTCTTGAATGAGGTTTGAAATTATTCCCTTGATCCGAAATGACAATTACTTCCTTTATTTGTTATTTCAACTATTAAAACATTTTCAGGAGTTGCATAATGTGCTTTTGTTGTCAATATGGAGTATGGGAATTTAAGATCATAAAGGTGATAACTTGGTAATTAGTTTTTGAATCACTTTATAGTTTACCGGAAAAAATAAATGAGAGGGGGGTATTTTCAGCTTGCACCTTTAATGTACTAACATACATTAGCTCTGGTTAGCTAAGGCAGCAGGAAGATTGTGTAGAAGGTCGTGAGACTATAAAACACTCACGACATGATTGTTTTGATAGAAACTTCATTGTGACTAGCTGAACAATAAAAGCTTAAAAAGTATCGAAAAATAATCAATAAAACATCATGAAAGCTAGATATGGCTGACCAGTCGCAGTAGGAGCAACATCAGGAATGCATTTGAAGAAGGATTCTATTATCTCGTGTCCGCATTCAGATTGCATATGCTTAAATATTTTCACTACTAACTAACGAGAAAAGGATTTTCTGACTTTAAGCAAATATATATGAATAGATCAACATGTTAACTTCGAGCAACCATCGTATAGTAGAATTTGTTAATTCATTTCAGATGTAATTGAAAGCACAAGTATTGACATATTTCACTTTTCCTTTCTTTTCTTTGGCACGTCGTATAATTCTAATCCGCTATCCGAATTACAAAAAAAAAAGGAATAACTTACCGGTAAAATTATAGAGCTATGTTGCTCGTACTCTCCAAAATTGTTGCCGCACCCGTGTTGGATCCTCCAAAAATGCACTAAATTTGGAGGATCCGACACGCACCCAACACTATTTTTAAAGAGTCCGAGTAACATAGTTATAGAGTAATTAAGAATAGTTAAAGAGGAGAATGATAAGTGGGAAGAATAAAATATGTTCTTAATCCATTTGAAATAGATCTTAGAGTCAAATAATATGTCAAACATAAGACTCATCAACTGAGATCTTTCTCCGAAAGATATCAACCAAGATATCTTCCTATGATTCTTTTTAATTCAACTGAAACATTTTCCAAAGAATTTTATGGAAAATATTGCAGAGGTCATAGAATTTGGCAAAGTGGACGGTTGACAGTTACAGTGGTGGCAATTATAAGGAATGCATCTGTAAGTTCATGTGGAAAAAGCATGATGGAAGTCACAATTCTTGTGCTTTCCCTATGAACACGATTCTCCCTTTGGAGTGAATTTCTGCAACTAACAAGAAAATGTTAATATTCATTTAAATGCAAGAACTATTTTTAGTAACTATTGTTATTAAAAATCATTCAGTTCTCTACTTGCTGATTTTTCTTTCTAATCCATTCTAAATTTTTAGGTGTGCAATGATGGAAATGCGTGCCTGGTCTATATGAACTAAAAATCCCAGGTCAGTCAATAGAATTTCAAGGTTTTTATTCGGAGATTAATATCATCACTTTCTGTATTTCAATTGCCCATGCACAAAGATGCACTAACTTTTTGTGGATCAATTGATATGTTTTGATCAAGTTAAAATTACACGTTGGTGGAGCTTTTTCTAAAAGTAATAAATGTAAGTTGTCTTCCTACAATATCATGATAGGTAACAACCAGAGTTCTTTATAAAGTCTGTGATGGAAATTAGGTATGACTCTTCAAGAAAGAGTTGAATACCTACATTTGTACTTTGAGGTAAAGACTGCTCAGGGCCTTCTGAGCAAGAATGAAAGCCATAAACAAAAATAAGTTAATAGAATTCAGAAACTTCTTGATCGAGCCAAACGAGGTCTCATGGAGAGTTAATCATTAAGAACTTTTGACTAACTTATTAATTTTTAAATTTTGTTTTTATGTATATTATGTATAAAAATGTGTATGACAGTACTTGATTTGTTTGTTGATAACTTTGGACTTAAGATGTAAGCTATACTTCAAATGAGAAACTAAACTCTTCTGAGAATTTAAAAGTTTTATTTGCAAGGCCATAGGAAGGAGGAATTTTAAATTTTCATTTTCTTGGAAAAGCATGGATCTTCTAAATGCTTGATTCTGTTTCTAAGTGAATTTTGGTAAATGGTACATGTTGACATGTGTGAAGATCAATCTTCTATTGTCTCATCCCTAAGTTTTATCTGCACCTATTTTCATAATTATGACCATATATATGTCTCTTTCCTTTTGTTTCTTTGTCATTTGGGTCCTCCCGATTCTTTTTAAAGGTTAGCCATGATAATTATATTGTAGGATAAATTGCTTTCCATCTACTGAGAATGCTATTCTTGGTTTATTTGTAGGTTGTGCTTGATACTTCGCTTTAAAGATTGGTGGCTCAACTGAGTTGTTTTTAAGAAAACAAATCTGAAATGCTTGTGTGAAGAAAATTTAATCAGATGAAGTTTAGGGTGACATAAGAGACACAGTGTGACGTTTTTCATTAATTAAATGATTTTGTTTGCAAACACTTGTTCCTTTTATGGAAAGTGAATGCTATAGCTTCACACATTTTTGTCTCTGCTCAAATAGAACGATCTTTTGTATTTCTACGGCACAAGATGGTGTGATACATTTATTTCCTATTATTATTATTATTATCATTATCAATTTGTATATGCATCGCTAGAACAACTGTGTGAATTCTTGTTGGTGTGTTATTCTCTATCGTTTTGTTTCTCATTTAGTCGGATTGAGAAATAAATTTACATTTTATCCCAAATTATTGTTGTCTCCAATATCATCCATCAGTTTATCTTTATCCATAGCACTTGGAGAATTTTTGTTCTTTTAATTTTAAGGTTTGAGGCAAACTTAGAATATGATACTTTGACTTTCATGTTGGGCCCGGGCTCTGCACGAGCATATACCTATCTAGTAAATAAAAATAAAGACTCTTTTGGTCTAAATCAATTTTAGCGAACTTGTTGGTTACTAGTTCAATCGTCAACAATAGTATCTATATAAACACGCAGGTAAGGAGTGAGTTATACATAAATATACCCAGTCATATTCTCGACCCACCACTTTGAATACTATTTAAATAAATGTTAAAAAGATAAAAAAAACACAACAAGCACAAAAATAATTTGCACATAAAGTATTTCACCATATAACTACTCCATAAGGTCCAACAAATATTCAACAACAACATTATATATCTCACAATATATACGAAGGACTTATCATAAACAGCGGTGAAGGAAACGAAATTAACGAAATACCATGACGAGTCCACGACATCATACATTCCCTAAATATATTATGGCACCTTACACATATTACAGCAGCGAAGAAATAATTTCTAATGCACCAACGTCATGACACAAAGCCATGCTACATCATAAATTATGTACTAAATATTTTTCATATTCTTAATATGTTATGTGTGTGCAGCTGGTCAAAGACCATTGATTCTGCAAAGCATACACTCTTCCCAATACATAGACCAGACAAAAAAAATATATTTTAAGAACAAATTTTCAAAATCAAACATCAAACCTTAAAGTCTCAATTATTTCAAATCAATAACCGGCCACCAACGAACTCTCCTAGGTGATAGCATTGCAGAGCACTAATCAAAATCAAATTTTAATATTTTTTTTCCTTTCAAATCGACGATTTGAATTGAATAACGCTAAATAGAGTACTGAATTGAAAAGACTTTCATGTTGGTTACGTGAAGGGTAATTTCAAGTACTGTATTTCGAAACAGTGAGGTATGAGTAGTACTATGAATATTGAGTGAGTATATATTAGCATTTTTGTCAACATATTCTTGCCATTGAGCTGTTTGAAGGAGCCAAATATATATTGTTACTGGGTCAAAAGCTCTCTTTTAATAGTAATTTGTTTCATTTGTTTTCTTATGTAGATAAGAAATTCCAGTTTGTGCAGATAGTTAGCCTGTACTTTGGGGCGTTAAATGTATATTATAGTATGCTCTCTTTGTAAACTTTCACCTTCTTTTGTCAATAAATTTTAGATATATGAAAAATAAAGTTCTTTTCCCGGAACATTCAGGTTATACAATTACTGAATCTGGGCTGAATATAATTTGGTCTGAAAAATTAGTTGTTCAGCAGGAGGCTGCCCCTTGAAGAAAAGTTTTACCAATATCATTGGCCCTTTTTTTTAAAATCATTATCAATAAGATGCAAGGGAGTAATCCTACGCTATTATAGGCATATATTTGCATAAGAATATATTATTTTTTAACACAAATTTAATAATTGTACAATGCATGTGTCCAGAAATTAGTAGTGTGTGTGAGAGAGACAGAGAGAAAAAGGTCAATTTGTCCTTGTACTATGCGAAATGGTCTATATTTATCGTCCGTTAATAATTGGGGTCAACTATGCCGTGTCGTTATAAAATTGGCACTAATATACCCTTATTGATTAATAGTGAGTCCTTAGATATTAATCAATTATTTGTAGGTTGGAGAGGAAATTCTTTGCCTTTGAGGAAAGCAGTTATAATAGGTAGAAAAGATGGATAGAGTGCCAAGGTTTCTTTGAGCGAACCTGTAGGCGACATGCTAGCTCTGCCCCTGGTTGGGGCTGGTCTGCTGAGTGTAAAGAGGGAGAAGAAGCTGATAATATTTGTTTTACGGAAAAGGTCCAAATATTCCCTTATACTATACGAAATTGAGCACATTTGTCCTTCGTTAATACTTTAGCTCAAATATGTCCTTACCGTCACATAGTTGGTCCATACATGCCCTTAGAGTTACACAGTTGGCCCATATATGCCCTTTTCGAAACAGAATCCACCCAAACTAATTAGCTCTTTCGTTAATTGTATTAAAGTGTATTATAAACACTATTTCCTTTTTATTAGTATTTTTTTTCTTTACCTTTCTCTTTTCTTTCTTCTTTTTTCTTTTTTCTTTTCTTTTTTTTTTTTCCTTTTTCTTTCTCCCTTATCCGATTTATGTCTTCTCCATTTTCATCACCAATTTCACTTGACAAAACTCATGAATTCCAATTACTAAGAAAATTCTCCCATAAGAATATTTTTATAGATCATATGTTTGTCAATTTTTTAATTTTTACTGAACATATATTTAGTTCTAAAATATTTAACAAAGTAAAATTGAAATAATATTTATGTAACAAAAAACCCGAAAAATCCAAGAAAATCGAACAATCCAAACCGATATAATTGGTTTGGTTTGGTTTTGATAAAAATCGAACCAACTCGTTCCATGTACACTCCTAATTTACATAATTAATAAATAAATAAAAATGTCCAGCTGAAAAAAGATGAAAAAAGACTAACAACTCAAATTTATAATACTACAACTTGAATTCTAGGATTTTAATCATTAAATTATCTTTCTGAAAACAATTTAAATAATTTGGTCTTTTGAGTATTGTTAAATGTTGAGATGTTTTTATTATTTTAAAGTTTAAACCATAATTTTTGGAATAATTTAATTTCATTTATTTAGAGGGCCAGTGAAATTGGAACTTAATTACCTTATGGGAGAATTTTCTTAGTAATTGGAATTCATGAGTTTTGTCAAGTTAAATTGGTGACGAAAATGGAGAAGACATCAGTAATAGAGGAAACAGATAAGGGAGAAAGAAAAAGGAAAAAAAAAAAGAGAAGAAAAGAAAAAATAAGAAAGAAAAGAGAAAGGTAAAGAAAAAAAAGTATTAATAAAAAGGAAATAGTGTTTGTAATACACTTTAATACAATTAACGAAAGAACTAATTAGTTGGGGTGAATTCCGTTTCGAAAATGGCATATATGGGCCAACGTGTAACTCTAAGGGCATATATGGACCAACTATGTGACGTCAAGGGAATATTTGAGCTAAAATATTAACGAAGGGCAAATGTGCTCAATTTCATTTAGTACAAGGGTATATTTGGACATTTACCCTTTATTTTAAGCATTTGATGGGGCTAATAGACATTGATACTGTTAGTTAATAGGGATATATTTGTGTCACTTTTATAACGGCAAAAGCATAATTAATCTCAAGTATTAACGGAAGTTAACTGTAGATAATTTCGTATAGTACAAAGATAAATTTGACCCTTTTCCTTATATAAATTCAAAAACAATTAACTTTTTCAAAAAAAATAACACCATCAGATAGGACTCTAGATAATTACTAGTGTATGTGGTTTTTTTTAATTTTTAAAAAGAGATAATTACTATGTTCCGATATAGGACACGTGTTAGGCTAATTGGTATCCACTTAGGACAAGAGTTTCAGGCACAAGAGAAATCATGAATTTAGAACCATTCATTAGTGATCTTGTCACTATGAGCAGAATTCATAAGTGGACCTATAGCCACAAACTTCTTGACCTGCCCCAACAAAGACAAAATTTATTTTTCTCCTCATTTTTATTTTTTATACAGTGAAATGGTCAAAGGATAGAAGCTAAGAAGAATTTTTTAAAATATAAATAAATAAATAACTCTCAAATAATATAACAACAAGAATTGAAATATTCTGAAACTTGATTCTTGACAACTTATAGTTCATTTTATCAAGTTCCCTATTTATGAGTTCTTAAAACCTTTTTTTCTTATAAAAAAACTACTCTCTCCGTTTCAAATGAGATAGTTTGACTCGACACGGAATTTAAAAAAATAAAAGAAGACGTTTGAAACTTGTGATATTAAAAATTTAAGGGGTAAAATCTTTATGGTGCCACGACATTTGTGTGGTTATAAAAGCTTCTCATTAAGAGTAAAAAGGATAAAATAAAGAGTTTAAAATTTAATTATTTTTAATTATAAAAATATGTTAAAAAAATTATGTCATCTAAATGAAACAGACGTAGTATATTTTTTTTTAAGTTCTTAGTTGCTACTTATAATGTAACCCCAAAAAAAAGAAGAAAGAGGAAATACAATTGGAAGTATGTGAAGGAAAAAAACAGAAGAGAATCCGCAAGACTAACAGTCAACCACAATTTACAAAATCATAGGGAAATCACAACTGAAAAACCAAACCCCACAAGGATAACTTTTCCTTTAATTTTCTTTGAGAAAGAAAAAAAAATGGCACAATGTCAATGGCAACCAAACTTTCACAGAATTTCTATCAAGAAAGATCTTTCTTGGAAATGCAGACCATCTAACATAGTTTCCATTAACAGAATCAGAGGTTTACAATGTTGCAGCAGTAGTTCATCATTTCCAGTATCATCAACAACAAGGGAAGAAGTGGGATTGAAGCTTAATGTGGATGTTGGAAAAAAAAGAGGAGATAATTATGAGGTTGACTGTTTTGTGAATGAGAATGGATGGTTAGTGAGAAGAATGATTGAGACTGAAGAAGAGATGAAGAAAGTTGCTGGAGTTCAAGCTGAAGCCTTTCATGAACCTGTTTTCATCTTCAATGATGTTTTCCTTGAATTCTTTCAGGTTCTAATTGCCAAAAAACCCTTATCCTTCTCTTTCTTGATTTTTTTCTTTTTTGCTTGGAACTTGTTTTTATTGTCAATTATTTATTCTTGGCCAAGTTACACATTTGATCAGTCATCCAAAAATAATTACATTAATTAACTAAATATACAAAAAATATGTATAAAATATATATATAATACGTATATTACATGTATATTATACATTTGAAGGGAAGCTATGGAG